ATTTTGGCTCAGTGATTTAGTGAAGTGTGTGAAGAATTCTACTGAGTAGTAGGTCAAGGTTTTTTTACCTTTGAGTCGGGTGTTTTCCAAGTAAAATACTTGTGTTCTTTACTTTCCATATTTACTATTCGCAACAATGGTATAAGGATCACATAGAAGAACCAAGTCCTTCTATAATTGTCACGACCCAAAACAGAGGGAACGTCTATAATTTCTAACATGAAGTACAAACAATTTCCAGGAAACCAGAGGGAACGTGTATTAAACAGTAGGCCAATTGATTCCATAGTCTCACCGGACGGACCAAGTCACAATCCCTACGGTGCACGCCCACACGCCCGTCACCTTGCATGTGCGTCACCTCCAAAATAGTCATAGGACACGGTGTCCGGGATTTCATACCCTCATGACTAGATTTATAACCGTTACTTACCTCAAGCCGATCAAATCTCTATTCCTTGATTTCTGCGGACATTATCGGGTGACGATCAACCAAATTCATCCATCATTCTAGAGTGTTGTTACATAATTAGGCACCTTGCAAACATGGTCGAGGGGGTACCTTTTACCCTTGACCATCTGATTAGGATGTACAACCCCCGACTTTATCGAGGTGGTCTGATTAAGCTTCAACGTTGGGCCCCAAAGGCTTTCTTTGCCTGTACCGACAAAGGCGAAGACAGGGGGTGGATGAGCCGCTTTATCCGAGTTAGTACCTCGGATCTCATTCCTGTTGAAAGGATGTCATTGCCCGAGGAATGTAATATGAATCGTAAATGAATACATTGATTGAATATTTTTCTTTCTATTCTTTGGGCCATTTTCCTTTTGAACTAACTTCCTTTGATGATGCAGCTGCCGAGTGGTATCCTGGCACGGTTAAGGATCTTTCGGGCTGGGTTCGCCAGCTTGATTCGACTTGCCCGTATGCTAAGCACGTGTGGCGCGATCTGGCCAGGGCCCGATGGGAAGCTAAAAATCATGGTGAGGTTTTTTTCTACCGTACTTGAGCTCGTTACAGGAGGTACACCTCGACTGTATTCTCATTTTTCGTACCTACCCTTTTTGTTTGTGCAGGCCTGGGAGATGCTTCTTTGTTGAGGGAAACCTCCTTCGGGGAGGCGGATGCCTCAAAACTTGCTAAGGAGAAGAAGAGAAAGAGAAAATCGCCGACCAAATCCTCGAAACCGAAGAAGGAGAAAGCTCAAAAGCCTGAAGTTAATTCAGCGACCCTAACTTCGAAAGCAGCGAAGAGCCCCCGAGCTGGGGGCGAAAAGAAGGATGACTCCCCGTTAGTGCCCGGGGGAAAAGGAAGTCCGCCTGCTTCGGGTCTTGCTGAGCCGACGGCTGCTGAGCCGAAGGCTCCTAAACCAGGAGTTGCTGATATTGTCCCACCTCAGGCTGAAGAGGCTCACGAGGAGCGATCAGATGATGCCCTTGAGCCGGTCGACTGCCAAAACATTCCCCGAGCCGAGGGGCATTTGGTAGATGAGTTGGGGGACCCCAGCTTTGAGGCTTCCCGGAGGTAAGAGAAAGCCTTGATCGATCCAACCGAAGTTATTGATGTGGGTGGCTCTCCGCTGGGTCCGACATTCTTTCCGAGGGAGATACGGGATGCCCATAATAGAAAGACTTCCGATGCGGGGGCGTCCCTTGGGGAGAATGACATGTTTAAAGGATTCTTCACTGGAGTCAAAGAAAATCCCGAACTTAATCCCTCGCTCATTCTCGAGGAAGTTGAGAGGCTATGCAAACAAGTGATCTGTCATCGACTGCTCTTCGAGCTTCAATCCTCATCTTTCTTGATAAGGCTGTATGTAGGCCCGGGCCCGGGCCTAAATGGGCTAAACGGGCCGGGCTAAACGGGCCTGGGCTTAGCGGTCCCCG